GCAAACCTTTAATTCATGTGGTTATCTCATTATTCTGATTCTTGTCAATGGAGTCAACATTTTGATTGTTTTTGGTACTGTATGTTTCCGCCTGGTTGTAGGAACAAAATGTGAGTTTTTGCAGTCCTATTAATAATGGATACATAAAATAAATGCACACGAATGTGTGCTCTTTGTGAAGAATCCACATTTAAATCAATGTGCATTCTTAGAGGCAGACAACACATAGTTGAACTAAGTAGCATGTCACAGACCTCTGTTTCCAACACAGGAGGCACCAACATAACATGCATTTCAATTCCATGCAGCATTACTCTCACGAAATGCTCAACTGAATGAAAACCTCTTTAAAGAACAAAACAGAACTGTTGAACCTTGTTGAATAAACTTCACATCCTTCTCCAGCTCCTTTTGCAAGTTGCAGAGACCAAATACATTTTTCATTGTGCGCCTCTTAATTTTTCTGCCCTTACTTAGGTTAAAAACAAGATCCCATGGAAAGAGGGGAATGATAGGGATACCAGTTCTTAAGCCTTTGTAATAATGCAAAAAAAGGGGGAAGGACTTTCCGCACCAACAGATAACTTCCAACTCTTGTCGCATACTGTACTTTATGTGCAGGTGATTAAAACTAAGAACTAAAAAAAATATTAATCCTTAATTGCTTATAAATGTAGGAAAAGCGAACACAAGAAAAGCAATATATTTCATACTGAAATCTAAAAATATCTGGAAAATATTATAAGTATAAAAATATAACTGTGTTCTTTTACTGCAGAGCAGACATGAGTAAAAATGTTCTTTGTTATACACGCAGTTCATTGCTTCCTTGCACAATATATATCTGATCCTGACATTATATTAACTACTATTATGAAAAGTACTGTGTATATGATATTGACATTGGCTTGTCTCCAAACTAAGTGACACAAAAGGCTCCTATAAACAGAATCTGTCGCTGAAAATGTGTTTTAGGACATTGCATTTCCCTTGCACCTTTACAAAGCTTTGACTTTATATATATACCAGGGATAATTTCTGTTTTGGGGCTGCATGGTGATGCAGTGGGTAGAATTGCGACCTCACAGTGCTGAGGTCAAGGGTTCAATTCCAGTCCTGTTGTTTTATTTGTGTTGAGTTTGTCCTGCAGGTGCTTCGTTTTCCTTCCATGTAGGCCGGTTAATTGGCTTCTGGGAAACTTGGTGCTACAGTAGGTGCAAGTGTGTGTGCTTGGTGTCCTATCCAGGGTGTATCCTGCCTTGTGCCTTTTGCTCGCCAAGATAGGCCCTGGCTTTCCCGTGACCCTGAAGTGAAAGAAGTTGCTAGAAAATGGATGGATGGATTCCTACTTTAAGGATGTGCATAGCGGTGGCAAGCTGGGAAATTAAGTGCAACAAAATATTGTTTGCTGTCTAAACATTCACACATCTGTCTGACAAATTTGTCTAGCCTTGGAGGTTTGGCTGCTATGGAGACTTCTCTTCTCCCAGGGTGGCTTCCTACTGAAAGATAGGTGTACCTGGGCCAAATCCTTAACACAACCCTTAAGCAATCAGTTACTGCTTTACAACAGTATTCCACATCAAAGCAGTGTTTGGCTAGAGATAAGCAAATGTACGTGTAGTAAATACTGAGTATGAACAGAAAACAGCCAGAGAAAGAATTTAAAAATATGGACTGAAAAAACTGCTTGCATTGACTGATGCATTAACGATACAGGGATAGTTTGATACTTTGATCATTTTTGCAGACATTTCTAGTAATGGTAGTTAATAATATTATTTTGGGTAAAAAAAAAAAACAATTTTCAAATTTTATATATATGGTAGATACTGTACTTTATTTTACAGGTAATTGTTTTTTAAACTGCAATACCATTTGCCATACTGTACATTAGCAACAATACTACTAACATCCTGATTTTTTTTTTACTGTTATGTGCAATAAATTCAGCCTATTTGGAAATCAGAAGTATGTGAAAAAACTGATCAAACTGGTATTATTTTTAAATTCATGTAGACTTTCTAGAATACAATAAAGGCTGTATAATATTAAAAAATTGAATTCCAAATACAAATTCCTTTGCACAGATATTTCTAATCTTCTGCATTCCATGACAGATTGTATACTCCTTCACCTTTCATAAATCTCAGGACTGCATCTTTAATGTAAATAATTAATTCACCAGCCGCGATTTTAAATCTGTTACATCAAAGAGCTTTTATGGTTCATAAAGATAAACACCATCATTTTCCAGTTGTGCATTACACGCCAAACCTTCTCTTGAATACAGGATTGCTTAACACTCAAACAGTCAGATTTACATCTCCCTGAAAATCTCATTGTTTCACTATTCATTGGAAGCATAACTTTGGAACATCCAGAACATCATAAACAACAAAAATATTGATTGAAACAGCAAATTTTAAAAGACTCAAGTATGATGGTGGCTTGTTGGCTAGTGCTACTGGTTCTGACTTTGATTCTGGCTTTGTGCCTGTCTGTGTGGAGTCTGTATGTTTTCCTAATGTTCACATTTTTTTTATCATGCAACATACTGTATAGGTTACATGTATGAACTACTGTAAATTCTCCCTATCCCCGAGAACCACATGTAACCTACATCCTCCACATGTAACCTGCCATGTCAGTGTAGATCTGTGATTTAAAACAATCCTGTTAGAGAGGACAAGGCAGAAGAATCAGTTGCAAGCATTTTATTTCTAGATCCAACTTTTTCTGTGAACCAAAAGACTCAGAATGATTGTCATATATTCAGATATTGATCATACTATAGCTTTATGAATCTTTACACACAACTGTTCTACTGTAAATTTGCTGAGGTATACAGTTTTTGTAGTTTTTATTTCTGTATTTATTTTAAGTTTTAGACTGTTTATCTAGGTTTGTCAGCATTTGTTTTTACAAAAGTTATTCCAGGCAAACTATATTCAATGTCCAGGATTTCACATTTTGAAACTTTTCCATAAAAGTTTATACTGTACTTGTTGTGCACAGAGCCTACAGTATACTGTATACTTGTGAAAATGAAATGTGAGGTTCATTTTCATTTATAAGTCTGATGAATGAAATGACGTTTTGCTGGATGAATGAAAGATCACTAACAGTATGATGGTAGAGCAGTCATAAAAGCTCTTTCATTTCTGATGGAACAAATGGTGATGTTTATACTGCATCACTAAGCACCTTCAGTGCAATCTGAATGCAGTCTACAATATATCAAGTAAAATAGAAATAGAAAATGACTTTGTATTATGAAAGGCTTTTGTACGTAGTCATCAGCATGTTTCTTTTCTGTACAGATATTGAAGTGCAGAGCAAGTAGTTCAGAAATAACTTCACAACTATTATCTTTATTACTCCAAGTAGCAAAGAGGCAGCGTGGAGCAGATTTTAAAGCTCTCGTTTCAAAACTGGAAAGTTGTTGTTTCCAATTCCCATGTAGGCTGCTACTCTTACTATACTTCCTTGAATTTATATGGCACTTTGCATCACAAAAGATCTCAAATGACTTAATGTACAGGAAGAGGACATCTTCTTGGGCAACATGCTGATGTGTGAAGAGTGTACTCGCACACTATGGCTGCTGTTGCATCATCCAGGGGCTACACTTTGGTGGTGGAGGGGAGTCCCCATTACCTGTAAATCACTTTGGGTATTGTGTTCAACATATTATTATTATTATTATTATTATTATTATTATTATTATTATTATTATTATTATTATTATTATTATTATTGTTGTTATTATTATTATTACCACCCTGAGGAAACCTCACAAACACGGGGAGAACAGTTCCAGTTACACAGTAAGGAGCAAAGACGTAGACTGGACACAGAAAAAAGGCAACGGAACTGTAAGAACCAAAGATACTCGACTTCGCAAAGGAGCGCTCTAGTGGAAAGGACAAATATTGAATCCTACAACTTTAAGGCTGCTGTGCACTCAACCTCTTATTAAGCAGCTGCAGAGGGCGGGTAGGATCGTCATTCAAACAGTAGTGGCAGAAATATCCTAGAACAGGTATACAAGAACTGGAAATGTTCAGAGCTGTAAACTGGATTCTTGCTTGCTGGATCACTTTATCAACAGAGTCTGCTGTGTTTTCTTCATAATTAGAAGCTATTCAACTTAATGTACGTGCAAATACTCGTTTGTACTGTATTTCCGTAGTGCAATTGTTATGCTATGTTTTTATGTATTTTTAAGGAAGAAATAGTATTTTGGATATGTTCGGTAGATTTTAATCGGCACCATTCTTAATGCGTTCCAACGCTGGAGGAGGTTGTTGAAACTTTTGTCATTTTAATATACGGAACATTACTGATTTTGCATGTGAATAAACTCTACGCGTATCATTTCGAATTTGGAAACAAATAACCTTTAGCCACGCTCTGTATGACCTAACAGTTGTGGACAACTATTTTCCTGATTAACTTTGATGCCATATCACCAAAAACGCAGAATATACACAGTAGAGCTATTTTGAAACCTTTCTAGTTTTAAAGCTTATCAAAAACAAACATTCGATGCTGTTTTTTGCCAAAATGACAGTGAAGGCAATTAGACATTTCGAAAGCGAGTTCATTCGACTTTACTGAAATGGTGTACAGAATATAGTGAAAATTAGGGTATACCACCCTGTTCGTTTATTAATCCGTTTTAGAAATGATTTTAATTAAATTTTAATAAGACCAAAATGCCAAAAAATATAGTGTATGACCATTCTTTGCTGGTATAATGACATGTTTGTTTAAATAACTGTCGGATAATTTCAGTAAAGCTGTTAACTGCCTAATAAATCAGTGTTGCTTGTGTTAAAAGAACAATCTTCAGAATAACAGCCCGGATGTACTGTTCTAAATTTTCGTGGAGAAAGAAAAAAATGTATTTTTGTATGTCCTCTTTCTGAATGAAAGACAGCCTTCTCGCTGAATCTCTACTGATTGCACGCTGGATTTACAATTTGGAATTGCTGCTGCTTAACAGATAAATCAGACCGCCAAGCTTTGCCAGCAAGCAACACCAGTCAAGTCACTGTCCGATACAGCTGTCATTTCAAAAAGCACGTTCACCTTCGACTGGTGGCCGCCTGGCTGCTTATGCAAATAAGACTAAGGAAACGTGGGCATGGAGTACCCACGCCTTCTGAAATACCCGATCAATAGTGAATATTAAAACGAGCTGGCGTAATAAACTCGCACTATTATAAACCGCCAGGTCAATGGAAATTTCTACTCATTCGAGTAGTGTAGTTACTCTAGAACTACTGGAAAAAGATAAAAACTCTTTTTTTTCCGTCTTTATTTTACATATATTTTTTTAATTGTTTATGTTTCTCTAGTCAGTACTGTTTGTTATAATGGCATCAGTATTTGAATGATTCGAAAAGGGAAGAGGAGAGTTGGCAACTAAGGTTTTAGACATGCCAGAAAATGTTTCCCTCCTCAGGAACCGCTCAGAACTGGGGCACAGTCGAGCGTTGGGAGGGAACCCTCGTCCTGCCTGGGCGGTCACGGTGCTAGCCAGCGTGCTGATATTCACAACAGTGGTGGATGTCTTGGGGAATTTTCTGGTGATTATTTCCGTTCTCAGAAATCGGAAACTTCGAAACGCAGGTAAGACGCACCAAAGTGCTGTGTACTGTATATTCGTACTTCTGACAGCTACAAGCTTGCGAGGCATTTAACCTTTCAAAACAAAGTGCTTATTTGAAGGTTCTTCTTTTTATAAAAAAAAAGGCTCACGTTGTGTAAAAATGCATGTTTGTGTTGATATCTGAACCGTGATTGTGACGATAACTTGATTTAAAAAAAATGTACGGTGCATTTACTGTAGGTAGCAAGCATCACATGATTGTACTGTGTTATCAGTTACATTTACACACTTTTGCAACATGCGACTGATTTTGCGTTAAACCTACAGTTCATCGCGTCGTGCCCTAAATATTTATTTCTAACAATAGTGTCTTTATGCAAACACTTAATGAATGAGCGTCCCATTGATAGTAAACTTCATTCACACGCTTGACAGATACAGTAGATGCAAAACAATGAATGGGAGGGCATTCAATGAATGGGCTTATCTGCGGCACTTTTTTTCTATGATATACAGTACTGTATAACAAGTCTATGAAATTACAGTACACAGCACCGGACTCTAATTGGCAGCTTGCTCTTGTGCATGGTAGGCTGCACATGTCAGAAAGAATGCAATAGAAAAGCTTCGATATTACAAGAATAACGATTTGCAAACTCCAGGCTTTCAAATTGTTAGACCACGGGCTACTCTATCACCTTTTCATCTGCTGAGTATACTAGGAGCCCACAGCTGGTCCATTACACAGCCAAATTAAATGTAGGGTATTAATGAGGGACGTACTAGCTTGTCAACCCAACTGTTGTATTAAAAAAATGTTTAGTGTCAGTAATGTTATTACGGGTATTGAAGCAAAAGTCCTAACAGTTTTCAAGAGTTTGTGAATCTTAAAATGGGGGAAATTTAACTACTGTACAGTACTTTCCTCACCAATTCAACAGGTTTTTAACACATCTCGTGAACGCTAGTGGGCTACATTCCAAATTTCTCAAGGGAATGAAAAAGACGCGCTTAATTTTCGCATAACAACATTAAGTCAACATTAACCACGATTCCATTTACAAAATGCATTATTATTCAGGTTTATTTTCACAATTAGCTTTTAGCTTCTCTAATCACAGAATTATATACACAGGAGAACAAATGGGTAGGGAAGAGTAAACACAATTATATAGAAGTCATATACTGTATAAATAAACCTTCTAATAATCTCAGGGAGGGGGTTGGAACATTTTACCTACCATTTTAAAGTTCAGTTGTGTATTCTCAGAAACAGATGCAATCACATACATAGGAATATAATACGTGTTACAAATTAAGAAGACTTTTACCCATCTAGACAATGTAGCTGCTTGTAGCTTCAGTAATTGATCCAAAGATCTCACCCTCTTTATCCCAGCCCATTTTGTACATATGTTTTTTAAGTATCCTAACCCTTTCCCTCTCCAGTAATTGTGAAAGAATCATTTTACAGATAGATTTTCCCTATCTAGAAGCAGTCCAAAAGATAATGTTTCCGTACTATTGCAGTTCTACCAACTTCAGGTGGTTTAAGGAAAACTAGAATCCAAACTGCAGCAGGAAAGTTGAATTGTCAGTAAGGTTTTTATTTTGTTTCAAATGCTACTTAGGTTTCAATATATAACATGTATTTAATATACTGTAGCTGCTTCTGGTGATCTATTATGTACTTGTAGCAAAACAGGGCAGTAACACCTGAATCTCCTGCTAACTGTGTAAGTAAAACTGAGAAACAAACAGACAAAATGTATCTGTGTCACATGCACAAATATGCAACCCAAGTCAAATTAATTAATGTGTTTATGTACAGATTTATATTGTGTCTTTATTGGATCATTTGCCAATATACAAGAAAATGATTAAGGCTCTATTCATGTTAATTGGCAGAATGGAAATATACTAATTTTAGCTCTAATAATTCAAATTGCTTAAGTGTTTCAGCATTGTTAAGTCATAATGGATTCATGGAATATTTATTTGGTGTTACATAGTCCCCAGGAATCAATGCTGAATAGCCACTTATCAAAAAGTATTATCAAATATCATTAAATGTACAACTTTCAGTAACTACATTTTAGTCCTACAGTAGAAATAAAATCTTTGATCATTTGACTGATTCAGACAAGTGAATTTGTGAAGCCATCAATATACAGTATGACTTCAACAGATACTTAAAGTTTAGCAGACTTAAAGTTTTGAAGATAAATCTTACAAATAAAAGTATAATGAGCCTTGATTAGTTTGTAATTTTCCCAGAAGCAATCAAACTTTTTATATGGGAGAAAAACCAACAGATTATGTCTGGTCAAATGGTTGGCATCCAGAGAAAAATTATATTGTGTTTGGTAACTTTATGTGATTTGTCTGTAACTTCATCAGTTTTCTGATATGTTACATCTTCATTTGATATTGATGAAAAATGCTAGAGTATTACAGGTATGTGTATGGGTTTTGGGCAGGTCCAGTACTGTTATAACTGGTGTTAAACAATCGTGTGTTTCTGTTGTATTAAACATTAAACATTATCATCTAAGATAAAACCAAGTCAAATAATTTTGCCCAGTGATATAACATTGTGTTGAGTATGTTTATATGTTCTTATGTTAGTTTCAAATAGTTTTAAACAGTTTGAAACAGTTTTTGTATTTCAAAACCATGTCAGAGACAAACAGTGGTGTCCATACTTTGGAGAAGTGTTCTATGTTGAATACACAATAAATGAGTGGTTCTTTTTCAAAAATATGGATGTACCTGGATATTATATGAACTAGAATTGATCTATCACAGGAAATGTAAACTACTGTAGGTATGAATAGATAAATGTGTTTTATTTCTGAAAATAAAAGAAGGCTGATGCTTCAATGTAATTGAAGAATCATCAAGCAGGACATATTTTAGGAAGATAGTTGTTTCTTGAAAGAGAAATATGGCTAATTTAACCATGAATATTAAAAACTAATTTAAATAAGTTTAATTATGGAATTGAAAATGATTGTGGAATACGTAAGTGTTTTCAAACAAGACGGGCTCAGGAATCAACAGAATTGCTTCACCATTTACATGCACATCTTGTTAAGATTTCAGATCATACTGCTCAGATTTTCAGCTTTTTTAATGAAAGTACTGCCAATTATTTCAAGCTGTTCTGGTACTCCAGGGGCAGGGTTACAGACCTCCTTTTAATCAGACCCAGCCGATTAAATACATGGCTTCAAAAATGACTTTGAAGTCTCTTCTCCTTTGCTACCTCTTCTCTATGTTGTAGAAGGTGTTTCAGGGATTAAGGCTGCTGTAATCTGTCCATGTCTTGCCTGCAGTCACTCCTGCTTGGTCATTTTCATGAAAAAAGGCTCTTACAGTATATGTCCTAGGCATGCATTTCTCATTCTCATTGTTCTCCTGTAAAACTGACCATTGATTTTCAAAGAAAATAATTATTTTTTTCTTTTTTTACTTAGTAGTACACCCATCAGAATCTGTAAAATACTCAGGCAGATTTCTGTCTTGTATCAGTTCTTTTTAATGTTGCAGTGTTTGATGGTCTGTGTACTTGAAACAATATGTATAAAATATGTAATTTAACAATACAGCTATGACAGTAGCTCTGAACACACTGAAGTCACTCATATTGAATGGAAAAAGAACACGTAGGTTGACAAGTTTCTCTCATGTAAACCTTTTTATGTGCTTACTGTACATGCTGCATGGTACTGTAGATAAAAAACAAAGACTAGCTGCTTATGGTTACAGTAGAATGTACAGAGTAAGGAATAGTCTAATATATGTATTAGCAACTTTCTAAATAACTGTACCAACTCTTAGGAAATGAGGCTTTACAAAATAAATACCACTGCAATCCATTTGCATCAGTAATCTCCAAATTGGAAAACAGTATGAGATTTTAGATTCTTACAAATATGCATTATGCATGTATTCAGGGCTGGGTTTGTTCCCCTTGTAGACATGTAATGACAACCTTATTTTACTGTATGTAATATAGGTATTTAAACTTGGTGGTACAGTAAATGCTTTATGAATACTGCACAGTCACTGCTGGGTTTGAGTGTAATAGATAAAAGATGTGAACATGTGAACTATGAAATGTGAAGTAGTACAGCAAGCATATTGTTTATATTTCCTAGGATGAAAGTACCAATACTCAATATAATGTCATAGTTTTATACATTTTTTCAAGATCTTTTATGTTTTCCTTTAATTATGTACTCTTTCATGTCTTTGAAATTTCTATTTTGCCAGTAATTCCTTCTGGATTATTAATGAATTCTCCCTTTATGAATTTTCATTATGGTGGTTTATTTATTTTAGTCACTCTTGTCACAGAAATAATACAGTACCTGCTCTTGGAGAACTAATTGACTGGCCTTCACATTGCCCTGAGAAAAGAAGAAAGGTTACAAATAAGGGGTGGCCATTTGACCATCTAGTCTGTTTGGTAGTTAGTAGCTAATAGATCCAAGAGTCTCCCTTGGTTATTTCGTGAGAGAAGTCAAGGTACCAATCTTAACAACATGGTTAAGTAGCTTATACAATACTCCCACAATCCTTAGTTTAAACCTTAGTAAAAAGATGTTCCTCCTGTTCTTCTACCTTTCCATGTAGTTTCTACTTATTTGCTCCAGCTCACGATTAACTATTTATTCCCCTCATAGTCTTCTTTGTTCAAGACTAAAAAGGTTCAGAGCTTTCAGCCCATCAGAACAGGAAATTCCCTCAAGTCCCAGAACATATCTGTTTGCTGGTCTCTGGAATGATTGTGGAGCAGCAAAATATTTTTTTCAAACATACTGTACACAGTATTCTGAATGAGGTCTACAGTAACTCCAAATCCTAATGTCTTGAATTACAGTAAATGCTACACGTTTATCTACAGTACACACAGTATCCTGAAATTTTGTTTGCTTTCTTATTGCTGCTCCATATTGTCTCCTGCTGTCCATTGCTGTCCCTGCAAAATAGTTACTGAGATTGCTGTGCATGC